TCCTGGCTCCTGGCTTAGGCCTGGTTTGTGGCCATTTCACATAAATAAATAAATCTTTAAAAAAGAATTAAGATCAGTTAAACATATTATTGTGATCTCTAGGAGGGGAGCCACCATATTCCCATATCCTATGGGGGACCCAACCACGGAAGCCAAGCTGTTCAATCCAGCATTTAATGAGCTTGATCACAGGCTAGATATTCTTTGATAGTCTATCACCTTGTCTTCAAGCATCATCATTGGAAGGTTTGAAATTACTGACAGAGAAATTGTCCACTGTCTCCAGGTCTACAAATGAGGATTCCACCCATAATTCAAGCCCCATTTAAATCAATCAAGTCTGCTTGAACTGTCATTGCCTATGTCCTTCTCTCAATGTCCAGTTCTACTACTCAAGTCTTTGCACAACCATAGCCTCTGTTTTCTGTTATCTATGATCTCGGAAATTTCCTTCACTCAGCTTATCTAGTCCCAGCTCAATTGCACTCTCTTCCAGGAATCTTCCATACTTTCTTCCACTGGCCCCTGCAGGCAGATGGTACACTGGGCCTGAGTTGCCAGAGAAAGGTGTGGTATCTCTAATCAAAGTGCACTGGGCAGGGCACCATGTGATGAACCCAAGGTCTGCCCTTGGAATTTTGATAGTCCAATTGAAGTTGCCATAATTGTGGGAAGGCTAGGGGAAACCGACAAAAAAAGGTAACTCATAGCACCCACCTAAGATTGCCTCCAGCCATGGATTCAAACAACTCTCCATCATCCTTTTCAGCATTTTGTATCCTTTCCTCCATTATTGTCTCTAAGGATCCTGCCCTTCTTCAAGGCCCAGGCATAAGAGAACAGATGACAGTATTACCTCATGATCCCTCTCCCAACCCAAAGAGTTATTTCTTCTGCTGTTTGATGAAATTTAATGGGATTTCAGCTCAATTGCAAAGGTCACCAAGCTTCATGATTATTCACAGTGGGACTGGAACACGGCTCCTTTGGGGAAGCCATTTGCTGAGTGATGTTTTGCAGCTGCTGTAAATGTGTGAGCTTGTACAAACAGGGACTTACAATTCACCTAAGGTGAGAGACTTGAATGCTGACCTCACCTGCTCCCAACTGTAGAAGGTGAAGCATACATTTATGGGTCATGAGAATTGAACTGTACAGGCTTTGTGCACAGTACCCATGGAAAGGGCACTCTAATGCTAGCCCTGTCCCAGCCACAGGGAGGATTATCTGGGAGAAAGGAGAGGTGAGTATCCTTGTGTGCATAGTGTTAGGCAGTAACTTATAATAGCCTACCCTTACTGGAATACTGCAGCCAGTTGTTGATGTGACAGTTTATTAAGTCTTGGAATAGAAACTTGAAAGGATACCAGTACCAACTATATTGGGTAAGGAAAGACAGATGGCTAGATAGTTGGCAAGTGGTAGGAATACACCCATTGGCCAAGATAGGTGACTTGGCCACTAGTGTCCAGATATTCCTTTGCAAGCTCAGAATGCTGACAGGTGAGTATTTCTAGAATTTGTGTTTGGGGGCAAGACTTTTACGAAAAACATCAGAAGGGTAGTAGAGTTGTTGTAGGCTTTCTCCAGCAATTGCTCAGCAATGGATGTAAAATTTAAGCTGCATGGGTAGTGAAAGGAAGGACAATGGCTGTTGATGTGAATCATATCTTATAATCTACCAACACTTCACCATGTGCCATTAATCCTGTTCCTCTAACTGGCTCCTCCTCCTCTTCTTCTTTTAAAGATTTACTTATTGCCAGCACTGTGGTGGAACGGGTTAAAGCCCCAGCCTGCAGTATCGGCATCCCATACGAGCACCAGTTTGTGTCCCGGCTGCTCCACTTCTGATCCAGCTCTCTGCTATGGCTTGGGAAAGCAGTAGAAGATGGCCCAAGTCCTTGGGCCCCTGCACCCACGTGGGAGACCTGAAAGAAGCTCCTGGCTCCTGGCTTCGGATCAGCGCAGCTCTAGCCATTGAGTGAACCAGCGAATGAAAGACCTCTCTCTCTCTCTTTCTCTCTCTCTCTCTCTCTCCCCTTTTCTTTCTCTCTCTTTCTCTCTGTCTGTAACTCTACCTCTGAAATAAATAAAATGTATGAAGTGTACAGATCTTGAGAAGACATCCCATTCCTCATCTCCTGTCCTCCCAAGGCATGCTTTAATATTACAGGTCAGATCACACCACTGGCAGAGCTTCTGGTTTTATTTCTCCTAGCCTAAACTGCCATACATTGATTATCTCACAGTTCGGGCATGGCTTAACTGGCTCCTTTGCTCAGAATCTCACAAGACTGAAATGAAAATGTTGAAAATTACAGAGATTTGCTAATGCAGAGGTTCAGTTGCAGAAGAATCCAATTCTACATTTGCTCAGGTTAATTTTTAAGATTTATTTATGTATTTATTTGAAAGGTGGGGAGGGAGAGATCTTACATTCACTGTGGGCACTCCCCAAATGCCCACCATACCTGGTATTGGCCTAGACTGAAACCAGCAGAAACCCAGAACTACCCATCTGGTATTCTCACAGGGGTGGAAGGGATCCAATTACTTGGGTCACCATGTGCTGCCTTCTCAAGTGCATTAGTAGGAAGTAGGATGGGGAGTGTGGGTTTTCTAGTACTGGAGGGCAGCTTAACCTGTTGTGCCATGGTGCCCATCCCTGACTCAGAATGTTGAAAGAATTCATCATGTTACACCTGTAGGGCTGAGGGCCCTAGCTTCTGTTTGTTGGCTGGAGATTGCCCTCTTCTCTTAAAGGCTGTTGAAGTTCACAGAGGCCATCTGCATTCTAAGCCATGTGAACTTTCCCATCATGGTGCTTGGGTCATCAGTCAGGAGAGCCTCTACAGGGAGTTGGTCAGCAAGATGGGGCCTTATACAAAACAATGGACTCACAGGTATGGCATCATATTACCCAGGCCATATTCTAATGGTTAAAAAAGTATAGGTCCCTTCTGTACTCAGAGGGATGGGGACATCAAGGGCCTGCAGTGGCCACCAGTGAATGAGCTAGTGTGAGAATGGGGTTAACAATAATACCTCAAATGTGAATGGCAATTGTGGGCATCTGCTCACCTAACTCCTCAGCTCCTAAGAGCTTCCTACCACCCAAAACAACATCTCAGAGGGTCCCTGAGCAGAGGGATACATACTGCAGGGAAAACCCTTGCTGGTTCAGGGAACAGGCAAAAGTAGCTAGATGGGAGTGACTCAAAGCCATAAGATTCATTCTGTAATAAAACAGAGTAATAAAAGGGATATAAATCAAGCTCCAGCTCTTATCAGTCAGCAGGATTATTTTTATTAGAAAAGGCCAGCATGACTGTTTTTCATACAATGCTTTATGTCACCTTCTATTCCCTTGAGCCATTAGTGGCATTTTCTGTTACTAATTTAAGTTTCTTTTCACATTTACATTTACATTTGCCTCTGGTCTGATCGAGATGGAATTTTTATAGACGAGGTTTTAAATGATAGAGAGGAAGTTCTAAGACCCAATGAACAACATCAACAAGCATAAAGCAATAGGAAGAATGGAGCATACTCCAAGAGCAGTCAATGTTCCCTGTGGATGACGAGGCTGGGGGTGCCAGTCACCACAGCATGGGATACAGTGAGTCCAACAACTGATTCTAGAGATAGAAGGTGATACTGTGATTTAGAACAGTTGAGTCTGAATCAAGGTAGACTGCACTGGGCACCTGGTTATGCATTTAAGGGACTTTCAGTAGTATGCTTGAGTGTGTGGGGGGGAAGGTCTAAAATCAGATTGGTTGCATGGGGCTGTGAATGTACTAAAAATAAATACATCATACAGTGTAGTTGGGTGAACTGCATGTTGTGTGAACTATACCTCAATAAGAAGTTTACAACCAAAGAGGCAGCAGGCCAGACTAGGTCCCAGGGCTAGAGTTCACATGCCATACTCAGGATCAGCATCTTTATTTCTTCTCTCAGGGCTCATGCCCACCCCACCCCCCAGCCTAGGGGTGTCTAATGTCAGCACACGTGCAGCCCCCGCACTGTATGCGTGGTGGAAGTCCCAGTTCAGAACACTTCAGCCTCAGAATCTCTGCTAAACAGCTTCCTTCATGCCCTTTCCATCTCACCTGCGGAAAACACGTTGCTTAACCCAGCCCTCTATGATCAAGTATCCTGTCTTCCAAATTATGGCAAAGAGCCTGGGAGTTAACATATCCCAGGAGTCAAAATGTTGAAAGTGCACTGCAGTTCACCTGCCCAGTGAGAACAATAGATGCTGGATTTGCTGTGTAAAAACATAAATGAAATTGATTCTCCCCTAACCTGCTGCAGCCCACATGCTGAAGTGACTCACCCAGTGCAGGGAAGATGCTTGTCACAAAGCGGCTGTGACTGAGTCCCACTTAACTGCACTTGATACAGTCTGCTTCCTGCTCTCACAGAGGTCCCTTCCACATCAGCCAAATTGGAGAATTCAGCGTGGAGGGGTAGAATACATTGCCCACACATCTGTCATGTCCAGTGGAGGTTTTCTCTGTAGGTATCCCAGGCATGGAGCTACCTTGGAATGATGATACCCATAAGGACCAGAACTGCCACAGTTCCAACTGACCCCTATATGTCCCAGAAGCTACTGTACCCTGAGGCAGAAAAACAAGGGGCCTTAACAGGAGGCACTAATATGAGGGCCAGCATTGTGTCCTTGTGCTCAAGACTGGAACCTCTGCAGCTGGCGTGAGCTGGAGTGAGCTAAGGAGGGAGTGAGTGCCCCAGTCTAGACTCCAGCTCTGAAGCTGATGTGGGAAACCCACCACTGGATGGCTGAGAATTCCCACTGGATCACAGAGAAAAGTAAAAACAGTAAAATCTCCATGAATGTATGTATAAAATAGGAGTCTAGAGAAGGAAACCACCATACAAATTGATTAAAATACACATGCTTCTAATGCAAGCAAAAAAAAAAAAGCAATGAAAGTCATTAGACAGGATTCAGAGAAAAATGCCTTTAATTAATCATGAAGACTGGTGAACATTCTCAAGAACATACAATTTGGTCAACACATTCAGGACTCAAGATTTGAAAAACAGTATAAGAAACAATTACTGAAGTTCACTAATTGTTTTTTTTTTTCAAAACACAACTGCAAGAATTCCTTAATTACCATAGAAGAATGAATACATGGAGAATAAATAGGTTGTGCTTTTACATCATTAGCACTGGAGTGATGGAAATTGCTCTCCAAACATAGCCTGAATGAAAGCTCTCCACTACCACAGCATTGACGACATGATAGATTTGAGGCACGTATCCTTCAGGAAGTTTCAGAGAATCCAAGGTGAAGAAGATGGCATCATCTATCACCCCGTTTCTTCCATGTATACTAGTAATGCACACCTATGGAAGGAAGTGATGTGCAGGAATATGTAAAACCATCACACACGAAGCCTGCTGTGCACTTCCCTCTGGCTCTCAGCTTCAGGTCAATCCATGCCCACCAGTGATTTCCAGTCTTGTTGGCACATGGTGAACACCTGGGGTGCAGTGTAGACACACCCATGCCCATTTGCTACCTCATGCCAATTAAATCAGAATCTCTGGAAAGGAGTCCTATGTCTCTACTGAGAAATCTCGAGATAAATATTACTCCGTGTACATAATCTCTGTAAGTTAATGTTGAGAGAGGTGAAGAGATTGTGTGAGATAGAGATGTGGAGATAAGTAGACCACCATCTCTCCCTACTTCCTTTGTCACATTCTGAGATCACTATCTCCTATGTACCATTGCTCAAACTGAATTTTCTTGTGCTTTCAAGCTCCACTCCCCACCAAATCACACCTAGATCTTACTGGTAAACACAAATACCACTATCTACTCCCTCTGTTATTTTTTCCAAGTAGTACCTAAGGAATGATTGTTTTCTGCCTTTGTTCTCAGAACATTTTATCACATATAAAATAAACTATATACTTCACATATTAATTACTTGAGTGATCCACATTATTCTTTATGTCACTTCACAAGTATAGCCTATTTGGTAAGGAAATAGGCTCCAATTTGGAAATGAATATATTTTTGTGTTAGGTTTCCCAATCAATCCAACAGAATCCTGAGAAGCAGAAATTATCGCTAAAGAAAGGACAGGCAGAAACATACAACAAGTGCAGCATTGAAACCACCTACCTCACTCACATGCTTGTACACCCGAGGCTTCACTGAGACAGCCCGTCTGCTCTGTGTGTCTGGATCTGTGGAAAATATAACTTCTACGCAGTCTCCTGTATAAGGCTCAAAATCTAAAACAGCCATGGTGAGAAATTTAGTGGAAAATGCTGTTAGTTTAGGTAACACTGCATTTCACAAATGCTCTCAGGTTTTAATACCCTAGAGCAGTTCTTACTGCATCTAAGGTAGACTTCTGACTTTTATTGTTATTATTATTTAAATATTTATTTATTTATTTGTGAGGCAGAGTTATAAACACAGAGAGAAAGAGAGGTCTTCCATCCACTGGTTCACACTCCAGATGGCTGCAATGGGTGGAGCTGGGCCCATCGGAAGCCAGGAGCTTCTTCTGGTCTTCCCACGTGGGTGCGGGGGCTCAAGCACCTGGATCATGTTCCACTGCTTTCTCAGGCACATTAGCAGGGAGCTGGATTGGAAGTGGAGCAGTCAGGACTCAAACTGGCATCCATATGGGATGCTGGCACTACAGGCGGAGGCTTAACCTGCTACACCACAGCTCTGGCCACTATTTTTGACATTTAAAAAGATTTAGTTACCCTATAAATTGCCCTTTCAGAAAAGAAATTTACCCAGCCCTTGTCTTAACTGTCCAGGAACAGTTTTTTTTTTCCATACTATTTGCTGAACTCTTTACTTAACATATAGTTAATCATATGTGTATAAAGTCAATTGAAAATAGATCTCAGTCAAAAATAAGAGTGAGAATAAGAGAGGGAGGAGGAAGTTTGTAACTGTAAAGCTGAATAGTTCTGCACACATTCCCGTGGACTTACTTCTAAGGGTACAGTTTAAAAACTTGCTATGGGACCCCAAATCCCATTAAGCTGGGTGGTAAAATTGTCGCCTTAAGTGTTAAAGTGAACATCTAGATAGGATTAAGTGTGAAAGTGATCATATAAATAGGATCAAATGTCTGGTGATAATAATGGAATTATAAAGGAGAAAATGTTCCAACTTACAAAGTAGTCCACACAGCAGACTCATAGCATGACAATTGCTTTAAGTAGCACTCTGACCTCAGAATCAGCCCTAAGGTATCCTGGTCTGGCTGCAAAGTCCATGAGAGCATTTCAGGCATGGAAAGCCAAGACACTGTGGCAAAAATGTGCTACATGAAGGACCTCTGTGAGTGAGATCCCAGCAGAAAGAAGTGGTCATGAAAGAAGGATGCACTTTTCTGTGAAGGAAGGAGAGAATTTCCACTTTGCTTATGGCCTTGTCTAAATACTGACGGAGTCTGTGGATCAAAGCTGCATAGCTAGCAGCTCATGTCAGAGCTGGTGATGACTGAATCATACTAGAGTGTTATGTTAGTACACGGAGTCATGTGCACTACTTCCATGTAGGACCTCTGACTTCAATGAATTATATTATGAGAGTTAACTATAAAACTTGTTTTCATACAGTTTTTTTTTTGTGTGTGTGTGCAAATTGTTGAAATCTTTACTTAGTATAGACTTGTCTTCTGTGTATAAAGTTAATTGAAAATGAATCTTAATGGAGAATGGGACTGGCAAGGAGAGAGGAAGTAGGAGGAGGGGTGGGAGTGTGTGTTGGAGGGTGGGTATGGTGTGAACAATCACTATATTCCTAAAGTTGTACTTATGAAATTTGTGTTCTTTAAATAAAAGGTTCCTTTGGGAAAAAGAAAAAGAAAAGAAGTTTACCATGCTGTAGACATTGATTCTCTAATGATTTAGCAAGTTCAGATGGTGAGAAGTATCAGCAACTGCACATCATACATGGGCAATCTTTTTAGGAGCAGTAAGAGGATGTATTAAACAACTACAACTCTTCCATGAGAGGCAGCCAAGTACAAAGGTAAGAACACAAGCCTGAAGCTGGCTACCTGGATTCAGCATGTACTCACTTTGCAACCCCCATGAAGGTGCTCATTCTCTGTGCTTTAGTTCACCTCTAAAAACTGAGAAGTCTAACAGTAGCACTTACCACATAGAGTTCCAGGGACAATTAATCGATACCTATACCAGTGTTGCCAGGCACACAATC